TTGAAGAAGCTTCTTGAATGAGAAGCGAAACATTTTCAAGGGGAGAAAAAAAAGAAACTAAGAAAATCCTGTTGCCTTTTGAAAAACACTTTTGGGGTGCAAAAAATTATGCATCACTGAGTTCAATCAAATGTACTCCCTTCCTCAAAAAAGTTACTTGAATATACAAAATAGAAATTATGAACAAATATGTTCTTTTATCAATGATGTAACAAAAATAAACCAAATATTCATCTTACTAGTAATTAATGGTTAAAAGCTTCCCCTCTGGCCATGATCACCTGGCCATGATCCAGAAAAATACATTTTTTCTGGATCATGGCCAGGTCTGTTTCAGGAAGCTTCACATTCACTTCGAACCAATATCCAGGAAACAAAACAAAGTTTCAGTAGTATAGCACTGTCTAGTCACATTTAGGATTAACAGCCATCTCTACTCTTTATTAAATCCATCAATCTATTGTCATTGCTGTCTAGGTCCATCTTAGTTGCTAGATGCTATATCTCTTCTATTCCGTTTATGTCTCCACTTCTTGTTCTTCTTTCCAAGTTTCCTCTTATAATTTAAAACTTCACTTCTGATGCCAGCTCAGCAGCTCTTTCTCCTATAGGACTATCTTCCTATGAGAAATTAGCTATTGAATTACTTTGAGCTTCTCCTTATCAGCAAACTAATACAAAGTCATTCTTCAAGTTTCTGAATACAGAAACCAATTTTGTTCCTCCAATACTTTCCTACATTAGCTGCTAGCTGTCTAACTGATTCTCTCCCCTTGGTTCTCTCCATCCTTTCCTGATAAGAATTTAACGCCACAATAGTTAACAGTATTTGATATAATTTTGATTCATTTAAATAGCAAGTACATTCCATCACATTTTACTTTTGTTTTTGTCCCACCCATTTGACCTACTCTGGTTACAGTAGCTATATTATGGACTGATGCCTGGTTCCTAAATGTTTATTTTTTATTTATTTTATTTGATTTGTCAATTGCTTACAAGACAATAGCTATCAGTACATAGTTATGAATACATGGATACATATAAGAAAAATAAAAGAAATGTTGCACTCAGTATATCTATAGCTTGCTAATCATCATAGAAATCTACGTAGCTCTCAGGAAAAAAATACCTTTTATATAAAAAGCTCTAAAGACAGAAGTAATAACCCTAAATATAGTTCAGTCAATATTATATCTTTTTGAAGCAGTCAAACAAGAAAATAGTGAAAACCTGATTTATGGAGAGTCAAGTGAGAAGAGACACAGAAACAAAGAGCATTGCTGGAATGAAGTTGTAAATATTCTTCAAGGATTCATTTGGATATTTTCAGTATTTTCATCAGGAACACATCAATGTAGATCTTCAGACTTGTAACTTGAAGAAAAAATACTCTGGTGTTTGATAGTATTTCTCTTACTCAGACCAAAGTTTTCCTCCCAAGTAATGGTTGAATAGAACCAAATCCAAATTTTGGTAGGTTTCTGTGAAAAATAAATTAGCTTTCAACTGTATAATTCCATCCCCACTTCTATGTGATATGGTACATAGTCCCATTGTCTAGCTATGCTACAGGAATGTGAGCTTATGATTACATATATAGATTGCAAGAGTGGAAAGTGTTTGGCTTGTGAATGAATTAATGTACAGCATGTCCAAACAATATCCCATCTATCCATCCATCCTTCATTATTTCCATTCCTCTTCTCTCCAAGTCCTTTTTTCCACTTGCTGAAGAGCACTGCAATATGTTTGTGTGGAGAAACATGTGGAAAGAAAAGTTGAATGAAGACTATAACTCAACACTAGGGAAATTGAAAGATGTTCTTTAAATTAAATTGTTCCACATAGAGATTTTCATTGTTTTCCATGAATGTTTTCATCACATGATTGCTCATAAAAAAATTCAGAGTAATAAAAGCAACAACTTTCTTTCCTCCATCCCTCCCTCTCTTCCTGCTTGCTTTGTGTTCCAAGGAAAAGAGGTAGAAAGGTAGAAAAAAGAGCAATGAAAAGGTATGATTAATAACAGAAAGAGGGAAAAAACAGATCTCCCAAATATATCTGGTTGTTCTTGCCTAATTATGGTCTTGTACACAAGACCATAATTAGAAACTGTAAGCACACCTGTGCAAACCAGACAGGAAACACGACTGGATGAGATAATTCTACTTTACTATAAGGCTACATTAATAGTATCTTGCAAGTCTTAAGGTCCAACTCCCCACCACTCCTTTTAATTGCCTGATTAATTAGGGCAGGTACTTCCTAAATTTCTTTCTCTGATTGTTAATCCATTAGGGGCTTCTCCCTCACTTGTCTGATTGTTTCCTAGGCCAGCAGTCCCCAAACTTTCCAACTTGGCGGCCTGGCCCAGCCCAACGCAGGGGAGGCATGTGAGTGGCAGGTGAACATGCGCATGCCCAGCTCCATTCATCATGCACAAAGCTCCGCTCATGCAAGTGGCAGGCACTTGTGCTCAGGCACAAAGCTCCACAAAGCTTCTTGCACATGTGCACACGCTTGCCTGCTGCTTGCAAGATGGAGATTCACATGCTTGCCCATTTCTCCCATGGCCTGGTTTTGAACAGCCCATGCCACGATAGTAGGCCGCAGCCTAAGGGTTGGGGAACCCTGTCCTAGGCAGGATCTCTTCCCTTATCCCCCAAGATCATCCACACATTCCATTACAGAAATTGTACCAGAGAGCCATTTCAGGGATGATTTTAGATTTTCATTCTGTTCAACAAGATTCATTCCCTTTAAAGTGCTCCTACTGTTCCAGAATTTTTTTATAGCCTGAAACATTAACCACTTTCTGCCAGAAATCTAATTAGCAAAAACTCCCTTTGTATCCAATCTGGTGTCTGGGCGTTTCATCTCAGTCGATGTATGTCCTGAATAGATTTTAGATGAAGGCTCCAAGCTGCAAACATGAATACAAAGGTATATTAGAAAGAAACTAAAGTGCAAAGGAATCCTTCAATGTTTATAGCTGGTACTTCTTTTGCATTAAATGGCAGCCCATACACTTCAGTACATCAATCTGTCTGGGATAAAATAGCAATAGTGCTTAGACTTATATACTGCTTCATAGTGCTTTATAGCACTCTCTAAATGGTTTCAGATGTCAGTATATTGCTCTCAACAGTCTGGGTCCTTGTTTTACTAGACTTGTAAGGATGGAAGGCTGTGTCAACCCTGATCCCGTCAGGATCGAACTTCTGGTTGGGAAAAGACTCAGCGTGCAATACTGCTTTCTAACCATTGCACCACCACAGCTCAATAACATTTCATAACTTCTTCACGATTTGGATGTCACTGGTGAAATTGGATATATTTTTCAGACTTTTACACACATTTTCACTTTACATGCTTTTCTACACTGACCAAAAAAACCAAAACAGATCCATTTATTGGCGGTTCAGAACATCATAATTAAGGCACTCAGTACAGGAAAATAGTAGATGATTAATTTTTCTTCTGGCTGTTTTTGGTCTTGTTGTTCATGTGTTCTATAAACTAAGCTTACTTGTATGTATTCAGGAGTAGATTAAGATGTTTTTCTTTCCAGAAAAGTGTGCATCAGATTGTCTCCTTGATCTCTTAAAGTTGATTCTCTCTCTTCTTGTCTTTAGAAATAATAAAACTTTCTGCACTTTCAACAGCCTGGGTAATGAACATGAAAATGAATTTATCTTTCATATATATTTTTTTCTATTTCAAATATATTTGTATATTTTTCTACTGCAGAGATACAGGTAGTCCTTGATTTGCAACCATAATTATTTCAAACTCAAAATTATAGTCATAAGTCATTATGATCACATCAGTCAAGGCATCACATGACCAGATTAAAAATTACACTTTTGCAACAGTCATGAAGCAAACGTTAAGCAAACCTGGGGCATTTATTTCCCCATTTATTGCTGGAGTACAGAAGTAAAAGTCAAAAACTGACGAAAAATGTCACAAATCATGTGTCACATTACTGTGAGGTACTGCAAACACTCATACATGTGAACTGGTTGTTGAACACCTAAAATGTGGTAATGTGACCAAGGTGTATGCAGCCCTAATGAGCTGAAAGCAAGTCATAAGTAGCTCTGGGAAAGTCTGTCATAATTTCAAATGGTCATGAAAAGCTATGGTGGCAAAGTGGTTAGAATGCAGTTTGGCAGTTCGAATCTCATCAGCTTAAGGTTGACTCAGCCTTCCATCCTTCTCAGGGTGGTAAAATGAGGACGTGGATTGTTGGGGGAAATATGCCGACTCTGTAAAAAGCTGAGAGGGCTATGAAGAAGTGTAAGCTGTATATAAGTCTAAGTTCTATTGCTATTGCACAACTGGTTGTAAATTGAGGAATATCTGGCAGTAGTGGCTATTTGGCCCAGTTCATTTACATGTTATATTTTTTTGCCTTTAGTTTATAAAATTATACACTCCAATCCAATCAATTTATCAACATAATCAACTCACTGATTAATAATTACAATTTGATACATCCCAAATGAGCAAACAAGATTAATGGGTAGAGGGTCTTTGTTCAGGAAGATAATTATTTCATTATGAAACTCTGGTAACTTTCCACTGTTTTCAAGATAGAAGCATATAGCTCTGATATTCTCTGGAGATCTTCTATTCAAGTATTAACCAGGGCTAATTCTGCTTAGCTTCCAAACTTAGACAACATTGGACAGATGCTGATACCTGCAGAGGACAAAATTGTCTTAATGGCTAAAAGATAAAAGGGAATAGTGGGTTTTGTGTACTTGTGTGGGAAACAGAAGGAGTCAATAAAAGATACATAAATTCTGTTTTACACATCAGGATAAGAACTGTAAATAAAGAAGTATTTTTATACCATCAGTTACATTTAAGGCCTTTAAAAGGTATTCTCAACACATAGTCGTGAAAATAATGTGATGTAATTGGATTGTTGACAACTGTTTTTCGTTTGTGGAAGCAACATTAAATAATAACAATTTTTCTCATTTCAGCGTTCAGGTGGTGCCTTAGCTATTCCTCTGTGTGCATTTCAAGGAACAGTGTCTCTCCAAGCTCCCACAGGAAAAACCCTCTCTTTATCTACATATGAGGTAAGCACAGAAGGACAAAAAATCACTCCCACATCCAAGAAAATCGAAGTGTATCGCTCCAAGAGTGTGGGCCATGAGCCAAATCCTGAGGATTCTCCAACCACATTTACTGACACCAATGTGAAGATTCACTTAGAGGTACTTGAAATTTGTGACAATGAAGAAGCCATGGACACTGTTTCCATCATTAGTAATATTAGCCAATCCTCTGCCCAGGTCCGCTCTCCATCCTTACGTTATTCTCGGAAAGAAAATAGATTTGTCTCATGTGATTTAGGAGAAACAGCATCTTATTCACTCTTCATACCATCAAGCAATCCCAACAGTGATCTGAACATATCCATTCCTGACACTGTCGAAGCTCACAGGCAGAACAGTAAAAAACAGCACTTGGAAAAAGAGGGTTATCAAGAAGAAATACAAATGTTAAACAAAGCATACAGGAAAAGAGAAGAAGATGGACTTGGCAACTAAAATGCAGAAAAAAGGGACTGTGAATAATTTGTACCCTCATTTTTTAAGTTTGCTTGGACCCTGAACCATTTATTCATGGCATTTGAGAAAATAATTGAATAACATTAATGCATTCACAACAGAATCTTACATACTTTGTCCAAAAGCTGTTTTAAGCAGTATTGCTATATTCCTTATGAATAAGGTAGCAGGGAAGGACAGCTCTTTCCTCTCTGCCTTCTGAAGAATTACTGTTGGAAGTTTCCTTGATGAGGCAACTCAAATCTCTACTCTTAATGCCAGTTTTGCTGCACTAGCAGCAGAGCCAAAAGTGAGGCGTTTGAGGGGTATGTAAGGGAGGCTGAGAATCCTGGATTAAACATTAGAGTTAAAGGATTGCAGCCTCCCAGCCAACCATCTCAGGGGGACCATGAGTTACCTCGGACCCCCATTCTTCATCTAACAACAACAACAAAAAGCTGGTTTCTAGCTTTTATGTAATTTGAGGTGGGAAGCAAAATGAATTGGGCCTCAAGCTTATGACTACATTGTAATATTTCTGATAAAAGGATAAAGATGGTTTTGACTTCCCACCTAGCGTACACCTCTGGCATTCTTTAATGGTATGCTATCCAATTACTAACCAGACCTGACTCTGCTTGGTTTCTAAAACCAGACCAGCTCCACCAGGTGCAGCACTATTCAGTCTATTCCTTTCACTAGAGAGGAAATTGCTATCATATTTCAGTGTATTTAGCCAACGTAACGATAGCCGTGACTGGCCATTTGTGAACAATGTTAAGTATAGAGATTAATGCAAAATGCCCACTTGCTTACAGTAAGAACTTTTTGGTCATTTTAATCCAATGATCTTATTACCTTCCTGGAGTAGTGATTAATGACCATTGAAAATTTTGCTTTCAAGAAAGCATGTAACCTGTTATTTCACTGATATAGTATATAGATTGGAAAGGCTTTTGCACTGATGTATATGTATTAAAGAGCTTTTTTTCCATAGAGCGTACACAAATATTATGGACGTCACAGACAAAATAGGAGAACCACTGGAAGCAACTAGCTCCATCAGGAACTATGAATATACAGAATGCTATATACTGCTTTCATCAGAATGTGGTTAGGGCTAAGTTGAATCTGGAGTGCTCATAATACTTTTTCTCCTATTCAAGCCAATGAGAGAGAAGTAATATAAAGAGACCAGCTCCATCTGTCATTCTGACCTCAAAAAGCCAATTGGGTCTCATACCTAAAATAACAAAAATAATTTCCCTCCCTTTCCATTTGATTTACACAACCTATGAATGGTTCCAAATATTGAAACCACTTCTAACTGGAATAGGACAAAAAGAAAAAGAGATACAGTGTTTTTCTAATTTAATACTTCTACCATTTGTTGTAATTTTTAATATTGGCCTAATTCCATGTGGATATAAAAGTGGAGGTGGTCAAAGCTATTTTTCAATGGAGTATTATTACACATACAAATGCTGTGTGTGTTTGTAGTTACACAAAATTACCTGCACTTTTTAATTCTTGTATTCAGTTTTTAATTTCATAAAACTGAGATATGTCTCTCATATTTTGAAATAATTGCTCTGTGCCGCATAAACTTTAAAAAGTCTTGTTGCTTGCTTTAGACTGACAGTTTTATCACAGTATTTGCTGAGACACAAATTGATCTGCAATAGAATTACTACAAAGTTACCACAATGTAAGTAACTAAAAAAGAATTGATTTTACAACCCATTTTTCATCTTTAATAAACGTTCTACCAAAAATCATGACTTTATCTTGCTCTGATTTTTAGTGATTTATATGTGACTGGCCATCTTTCAATCCATCATTTTATCTGTGGAACGCAACTAACTTTGTCTTTGTTGTATTCATTTTCAGATCCATTCTTCTCATTACAATCATATAATCTAACACCCATTTTATACCATTCAGGTTTTCTGCAAACATCACATTGTTTTCATACAAGAGTGTACACCTGCTAAAATCCATAAGCAACTTAACTCTAATAAACACAAGCATACATTTATCCATCAATATATTACACAATTATAAGATCATCACATGTCCTGGTTTTATTCCCTTCTCAATGTTGAAACATTTGTCAAACGTTAAACTTTTTTGTCACTCGTTCTTTACTTCCCCCATATACCACTTTTACTATATTCAATAGCCTATATTCAACTCCATCTGTCTGCAAAATATTTCATAATCCAAGCCTGTTCATTTTATCATATGCCTCCTTTAAATAAATAAGCATATAAACAATGGAAGTTAGTTTTTCAAATCTCACATCAGTCTCGAAAGTGAGAAAGAAGTGTGGTTCCAGGTGTATTTGCAGAAACATCAATAATTTTGGAATATTGTTCCAAAATTCATTATAGGAAGTTAACTCTTCATCTTTCTTGCACTGTATGAAAATAGTGTGAAATCCAGAGATATTCTCAACAGCTTGCTATGCCCAAAAAGGTATAGTCTGATTTATATTTTAAAAATATAGCTATCACAATAATATTTGAATTTAATTGAATTCAGTTGTGTATTTTGATGCTTTGCTGAAAACTTGGAATTCCTTCAAGTGACCTATTTCCATAGGGACCAACAGTGCATACACATACAGGGAATTGCTGATTAAGTCATCCTTAAACTGTCCATATTCTTGTGATGTTGATAGGAGAGATGCTGATATTTTACTGCTCTTGTTTACCAACTCTATTTTTAATCTGCATTGAAATCATCGGTCTGTAAGTTAAGATGATTAATTTATCTTTTCACCTTTCCTTGATTTTCATCAACTTCAAAGAGAATTTTTCAATTAGTTCAAATTTGAACTGTTCAAATTATTGATTCAGAACTCCTGCCATGATGTGTTTTGAAGTCACTGAAACTGCAGACCACAAATGTGGAGAGCATGTTGACAATTTTAAAGAGTGGGCTAAATCTAATTTTTGCAGACTGAAATGAAAATTGTCTTTAAAGTCTCCAAATTCTCACTGTTCGGTACTGTCAATCAGCCTTAGGTCCTGTTTTCTATTAATTTGTTGAGACTATAATGACTGTACACAGAAACTTATCATACTTTCAAGAATTTGTCATTGGTAGTTGTGCATTTATCCTGGGTTTGGTAAAACCAGCTCAGGATTCAACCTATTGTAAGGTAATGTACTGCTGTGATAAAAGCACTGTTCGCCCAGTAGATGGCATTCTATTCAGTGGCCAACTGAATTCTGTTTCATTTAAGTAAAAATTTGAAATAATTGGATATCATTTATCCATTAACAGCTATTTGCATGATATCAAAATTTATTTATCCCTTTCTATTGTTTATTTCTTAGAGAACATAGTGAATTGCTTGTCATTTTTAGAAAACCAGATGGATTTAAATTTTTAAATCCTTTTAAAACTCTATTGAGTTACTTCATCTTTTTCTTCTCTGATTTTTCCATCCCTCTGACCTTTAATAAGCTTCAGAACACAGTATTTGACATTTCTGGGCAGAAGGATGATTGTCAGAGACCTTTTTGAAGGTGATTTGAAAGAAATGTGATCCAACCAAAGTGCATGTGGGATTGGAAAAAAAATATGGACACTGAATTAACTGAACAATAGTAATTTTAGGCTACTGAGTAATACATTTTACATCACATTGAAATTTGGGAGGTTGAATGTTCAAAACATTTTCTGTATGTCAGTTCTGTCTTCTCCCTGTCCTTTCACATTTTAATTTCTATTTAATTGGGCTATAATCTAGATTCTAGAACATCAGTCCTTGGCTAGGAAGTGCAGTGGTTCAGTGGCTTAATGACACTAGAGATGGTCTCTGTTGCCCTGGCTCAAGTCCTAGCAGTGCGTGACAGGGTGAGCTCCCATCACTCACCACAACCTCTGTTCACCTAGCAATTCAAAAGCATGTTCTTTTTTTTTTTTTTTTTAAACAAGTTTTATTAATTTTTAAAACACACAAATTATCATTATTCATTACATGTTTAAACCTTTTTTCATTGTCAATTTAACAAGTCAGATAAATTATAATTCTGTTTTAAACCATTTCCATACAACATACCAAAACCTCTTATTCAATTTCTCTTTACTTCTCTTTACTCTTATTCAATATCATTATTATTATTTCATCTGTTTCTTTCTGACTTAGTTACCATTATTCTCATTCTATATTTCTACAATTTTTAACTAATTCTCCCCCCCAAAAAGACATATACACACAACACACAAAACATAAAAAAAATCTTTTTGGAAAGTAACTTGGACCCAGGTGTCTCTCTCTTCATGGACTTCAATTATATTCATGCTCATCTTACATATCATTACTTATTTTATTTACCATTCTAAGCCTTCTATATTAACTTCCCCACATATTTCACACTTCTTACTTCTATCTTAATTAATCATCTTAATTTGAATCATTATATTTATATCTTTTGTCCATTTTTTATCATCCCTTTGTCTCATTCCTTATAAAAAAAAAGAAAATAAGTTTCTCCTGAAATCATTAATCAGAGTATGATGCCTTTCTATCTCCCCCCTAAGTTAATCAAATTAATCTTTAAAATAATATCTAATACCCAATCCGATTTTGCTTGGTACATTCTATCTAACTAATACATCCAACATAATTAAGTACATAATTAGACAATAAATCCAAATATTAAAAAAAGATACTATAATAAAAATTTTATAATAACATCAATACCATAGTCTTATTAAACTCTTTAATTAAAACAATATTCTAAACCTTCCCTATTATTAAGTTTTAAAGCCAATCATTTTTAAACATTTTAACATTTTAATCTCTTATCAACTCTTAAATCATTACAATACTACCATCTCATCTTATGTACCTTGCAAAATCTTTTTTTTAAAAAAAATTATACTTTATCCATTATCCATAAAAAATTTCTTTTTTTCATTTAATTTCAAAACATTGTAGCTTTTCTCCACCTTTTCCCTTTCTTTCTTCTCCCAACAAACCTTTC